CCGCGGCCGGCCGCAGAAGCCGGAGCGGAGCCGCCTCGGCCGGCTCGAGACGTGACGCGCTTCGTCCGCCTCGTCCAGAATGACCTTCTGCGGCATCGGCGCCAACAAGTACGTGGAGGCCAACATCTCGCAGAAGTCTCGGACCACCGTCAAGTACACCATGAAAACGTTGGCCAGCATCGCCGAGACCCTCATCTTCATCTTCCTCGGCATCTCGGCCGTCGACAAGTCCAAGTGGGCCTGGGACACGGGCTTGGTCGCCTGCACCCTCGTCTTCATCTTCATCTTCAGAGCCGCGGGTCAGTGCCCCCCCCACCGTCCGCCCGTGGCCGAGGCGTCGCTTCCCGTCGAGAAAAAAAAAAAAAAAAAAGGGGTGACTTCCCGCTGCGCCAGGTGTGGTGGGTCAGACCTGGGTCCTGAACCGCTTCCGTCTGGTCCCGCTGGAAAAGATCGACCAGGTGGTGATGTCCTACGGTGGCCTGCGGGGGGCCGTGGCCTTCGCTCTGGTGGTCCTGCTGGACGGCAAACGCGTCAAGGCCAAAGACTACTTTGTGGCCACCACCATCGTGGTGGTCTTCTTCACCGTCATGTTCCAGGTACGGCGGCACGCCGCTCGCTGAGCGAGGTTGAGGAGTATCGACGAGTCGTTTCTCGCGCGGGCTAAGCGTGTCAAAAGGTCAATCGCCAACGCTTGCCACGCACGCCGGCGAACCGACTCGACAGCTCGCCACTTAGCAGACATTTAGCATCTCGGCGCGAGCGTTGCCACTGCGCGGATGTCCTCCCTGTTTGTGAGGTCTGACCGTTGGTGGGAATGTTTTTGCTCCTTTCAACATTTTTCCGCGAGCATCTTAATCAGAGCGCAGGATAAACATCCTGCTCGACACCGCGGAGGCCTTCCGGGGTGTTTTTTTTCCCCTCTTCTAAGTCTGCGTGCGTGCGTCATAGGGCTTGACCATCAAACCGCTGGTCAAGTGGCTGAAAGTTCCTCGCTCCACCAGCAGGAAGCCCACCATCAACGAGGAGATACACGAGAGGGTGAGCGTGCGCGCGCGCTCCGTCGCGTCGTTGAGAGTCGCGGTGCAAAGTACTGACGGGCGTGCGTCACGCGCTCAGGCCTTCGACCACATCCTGACGGCGGTGGAGGACATCGCAGGCCTTCAGGGCTATCACCACTGGCGGGACAAGTGAGTGAGGCGGCGGCGGCGGCGGCGCCGGCCGGCGACGTCATCGTGCTGTGACCGTGTCATCGCCAGATGGGAGCAGTTCGACAAGAATCACCTGAGCAAGCTCCTGCTGCGCAAGTCGGTGTACAGGAAGAGCGAGCTGTGGGAGGCCTACCAGAAGATCAACATCCGAGACGCCATCAGCCTCATCGACCAGGTGGGCGGGAGGCCGCCGCCGCCGCCTCCCCGCGCGACGGCCACGCCGCGCCGCCTCCGCGCCACTCGTGACTTTGCCGCGTGTGTGCAGGGCGGGAATGTTTTGACTTCGGCCAGACTCTCGCTGCCCTCCATGAGCGGCGGGGCTTCCTTCCCAGACGCCTCCAACGTCACCAACTACCTGTGAGCCGCAAAACGCGCGCGTGCGACGGAGTGCGCGCTCGGGCCGCGCGGTCGCGGCCAAAACGATCATTTTGATGCCCTTTGAAATCAAGACTTTGGTCGATTCCTTCAGCGACTCCAAAGTGTCATCCGAGCCTCGCGGCCATTGATTGCTGCACATTGAGCGCTTGATTCTGAAGCGATCCAACCGACCTTGTACGTATCGCGGCAATTTCAAGCCTCTTGCATTTTGCTTCATTTTCATTAGCGAGCATGGCCCGGATTTCTTCATCTTGAGTTTTTGGACTCACCGGGCTCACCTCGGACATCGGGTTGCGTTTCGTACCGTGTCGTGTCGGTATGATCCCCGCTCCCCCTTGGATCTTTGCATCCTTGAATTTGGAGGAAATGAAAAGCGCTCGACTCCTTGCAAACTCCACTTTGAAGAGAAGCTGAAAGAACAACGAGAAATTCAATTGCTCAGAAAGTGCAAGAAGATCCAAATATCAGCTGCGCATGCTCCGGCCTGTTGGGGGCAGCGTGGTGCCGGGCACGCACGGTGCGTGCGCGCGGCCTCCGCCCGGCTCATTGTTTGCTCGCTCTTTCAGGCGCGAGAACGGCAGCGGCGTGTGTTTGGACCTTCAGGTCATCGATAACGTTCCGGGCGGCAAGGTGGAGGAGGACATGGAGACCCATCATTTCCTGGCCGAAAACCTCTACAAACCCAGGCGGCGGGTAAGGCCCGGCCCGCGCGCACGCGACCGCTCGCGTCGGGGTGCGTGACGCGCGCGCCGTGTTTGAGCAGTACCAGTCGCACTACAGTCGGCACTTCATGCCGGCGGGCGAGAAAGAGCGTCAAGATCGCGAGGTTTTCCAGAGGAACATGAAGAGCCGCATGGAGACCTTCAAGTCGGCGCGGCACAAGCGGCACAAGAAGGAGCGAGCGCTCAAGAAGGTCGGGCGAGGGGGTGAGGGGGCGTCGTCCTCGCGGCCGTCCGTCGGCTGATTTGCGGCTGATCCCGCAGCGACGAGGTTCCGACGCCAAAGACGACGCCGGGGACAAAGCCGGAAGGAACCTCGGCTGGCGGGACCGAGGTGAAGCGGCTGCAAATTGCCATTTGGCCTCACTTCATGTGCCCTTGTTTCTCTTTGCTGGATTTGCAAAGCGCATTCGCGTCCAACTTTTCAACGTCGGCACAAACGCGCGCGTGTGTGTGTGTGTGTGTGTGTGTGTGTGTGTGTGTGTGTGTGTGTGTGTGTGTGTGTGTGTGTGTGCTTAGACCCTGTGGTGGTTCCTCTGGGATCAGATGAAGATGAGGATCAAGGCGAGCGTCCAGACCCCGAGAAGGACGAAGATGTCGGGATCACTTTCATTGCCATGAAACCGGAAACTCCCAAACGCCGTCCACTTTCAGGTACGCCAAGACGAGAGCGCGCACGCCGACCTAACCGAGAGCAGCGGCGGCGGCAGACGTGCGTGTGCGTGTGCGCGTCCTCAGCGGCGGCCGGCGGGGACGCTCAGCTCCCGTGGAAGGGCGGCGGCGCGCTGTGGCCGCCGCCCTGCGTGTCCCTGGAGGCCACCAAGGTGATCCCGGTGGACCTCCGGCAGGCGTGGAACCAAAGCATCTCTTCGCTGGAG